AGTTACACAGTCAAAAATTACCAATATTTTTGTTTTATTTAGACTTTTATAAGAAAAAAAAGAACAGATTTATTTTTCAAAGTCAGTTTTTTACCATACGATACATATAAATGACAGTTTACTTGGTCTCTTGCTAACCTCTGAGTAAAATATCCTAAACCAAAGACTGGTTCAGCTGTAGAACTCTGCTTCTAATGATCTTTGAAAGACTTTTCAAAAACTCATCAAATTCACTGCTAATTTAAAAATGATTGTAGCCACTACGTTTTAAAATATGTTGTCCATAGATATGTTTATTTCAAATTGTCAAAACAAGCAAAAATAAATAAATAAAACAAATACTGCACACATTTCAACACAGGTAAATACAGAAATCCATCATAAAACAGGCAAATTGAGTGCAAACCAGAATGGTAATCTATAGCTTCACAAACAAAATATGCAACACAAATGAGGTCAGCCTTAAAGTTTTAAGAAAGTAAAGGGCATCACACACAACTCATGTTGAAACTATTATATATCTTAAAAAAAACTCAGTTCAAGTGCACTTTAGTCTCAGTCCAACAAAATAATGTTTGCTTTATCAATGATGTTAAAGACAACCAGGTGGGTGATTTGGTTTGCTCCAAGCTAGAAAGACGAGTCATGCCCACACACACGACCTCTGGTCAGTTATTACAATGATGCATGCATACACACAAGCCTTGATTTTACACGACAGCAGTGTTTGTTTCTCTGAGAACCTTTTTTTTTATTATATTTGCTATGAATTTGTGTCCTTCTGCTCAGTATGTTATAACTGTGTTATAACATAGGACAGAGCACTGAAGATGGTTTATACAATATCCACAACAGAAAATATGTGACCTTGTGTTCAGAGAAAATCAGATGAACTTTTGTTTTTACGGTCTCAAGTATTWATAATAAAAACTCAAATTATGTACAAAGACTGCTTGATGCAAATATGAATAGATGTAATTTTTAACACTGCAAATGTTTATTACCTACCTGATTATTCTCCGCAATTTTGTTCTTCGTCTCAATATATTTATTAGTAAAAAACTGACTTCTTATATTGTTATTATTACTGATATTATTCTTAATATTATTATTAWACGGTTGTGCAAAGACTGCAAAAGCTAAAATAGTTTTAATTAAAGGTAACACTTTACTGTGATCCACCTTTGTAGCATTTACAGACAAGCTAATAGGTTTATAAAAATGTATAATGTGAACACAATGCTAGTATAAGCTTTAAAGTGCTTGTGACATTATTTTTTGTAACAAACATGAGTAAATTTTTTGGGAAAAATAACATTAATAACATACTGCAAACAAACATTTGCTCTGCTGAGATGAACAGTGGAGATATTTGCATATGAAGTAACAGGAAGTGATGTCAAAAGGGGAATATGATTGTAAACAGAGCATTGCTACAATGATAGCACAGACTGCAGAGATGAGTTTGGTGTTTCTTTAGAGATTTTTGAGTCACTATTARGGAGACATGAAGAAAAAGTATAGTTCAAATACTTTTGTTTCAATAAACAAAGACCARGGAGTTTCTTTTCTTAAAGAGTTCCCCTTTGACGTCACTTCCTGTTTCACTTTAGTTGAGCCAAGTTCAGAAGAATATTCTAGTTATGTGGCAAAATGGGTTAAATCATGTGTTTTATGCCAATTTTCTTAAATATAAAAATGTTTTGAATTTGAAGGATATGCTTGTCACAGACACTTTGAATCCAGTTACATAACAAAGGTGGCAAAGTTAAAGTTTTACCAAAAACATAAACCATTTGTTCCCTATTAACCTTAATTTATTACCAAACACAGGAATCAGTAACGGAAGAAGATGCAGCATCACTTGAAATGAACATACATGCAATCCACTGACCACTAACACCCGCTTCGGATGTTATCATCCATTAAATGGACGTTAGCCGTTATCAGTCCCATAGAATGACTTCAGACTGTCCTGATTGTGCCGCCTAGTGGSTTCTCYGTCCCATAGAATGGCTTCAGACCGTCATTTKGTTTGTATGAGGCATAAAGCCACTAAGGTTRATTTTAGAGAAAATGACCTGGGCTACGATAAAGTAGACCGGACTCCGGCGGTAGCAGATTGTTGCATTCCAATGTATATGGCACTGGTAACCYACTAGGGGGCACTGTCGGGACAGTCTGAAGCCATTCTATGGGACTGATGACCACTAATAACGTCCATTTAATGGACTGATAACATCCGAACCGGCTGCCACTACCCTGACAGTTTTTTACTTAATGAATAAAAACCTGTGTACACAGATAAATTATTATGCAACATTGCTTAATAAGAGAAATCAGAGGTTCTTCTGAAGTGTGTGATTGCAGTTTAATCAGTCCAAGGATGGAGTCCAGACACTGATAATCCAATTTTTTAGTCCCTTCAGTTGCCTTACTCGACTCTACATGATGCTAAAGTGGAAGATGGTGGGTCACTATGAGGATCGGAGTGGACTGGAGAGGAGCAAACAATGAAATTGGACTTCCCGCCGCCTCCTTTCTRGTGGGTGAGCCCCTCCCGTCGTTCTCTCAGCCTTTCCTCCTAAGCACCCAGCAACTTTTTGACAAGGTAGCCCGGCATGCTGTAAAGGAAAAGGCCCAGCATGATGAGCAGCAGCAGGGCCAGCACAATCTTGATGATCAACCACTTGTAACGGTTGCACACCAGGTAGCGGATGGCTTTCAGCGGGCTCAGGAACCACAGGAAGGTGGTGTCTGGGCGACTGCGTGGGGCAGATGGAGGTTTGATGGGAGGAAAGGGAGGACACGGCGGTGGAGGCATGCCGGTGGATGGAAGGGGGAAGTTAATGGAGGGTAAGGAGTGGATGGGGGGGAAAAAGTGATGAAGCGTGGGAGGGATGAGAGAGAGAGAGAGAGAGAAAGAAATCCAACATTAGTGCTTTGAAAGTCACGTTACAGTTGCGAGTCTTATTAGTCTCTACAGCATGCTCACAATTCACATTTCTATAAAGTTTCACAGAGGTTATAGTCAAAGCTTTGCATTATGAGAGGTGTAGGTGAAGATGAGTAAATGAATGAGTCAACGAATGAATGGATAACGAACCAGGAGCTCCAATGTTTCTTACAGCAGACTGTATTAATGGTAGTCCATTATAATAATACTTCAACTGTGAAACAGCTTTATAGTTTCTCTTTTTGTTACTGTATTTGGTGCATTCTTTTTAACAGCTGGCCAACTTTCAAGCCGAGAAAATAAAGTCAGATTTTTTTTCAGCAATCTTTGATATTAGTGTGAAAAGAGCATGAGAAAAACTACTTTATGTTTTGCTGTTTTATTTTCTTATTTTAAATTAAAATTATTGGATTTTTGTGAGGGGGTTCTTTATTTCTTTTTTTTTTTTACCCGATTTGCTGGATTGGGATAAAATGTAGC